AAAAAAAAACGAAGACCGAATGTAATGTAGAAGCAAAAAACCGGTAGTGATAGCATTAAATACAGACCGGTAATGATAATATCACATATTTTAACATGAAGTTTACACAGAAGCGGTGTTATGATGCCGACGATTTTGTGAGAATAATCTCTAAAACACCAAACAATTTATCGTATTACGGAACCGACAAGTGAAAACTGATCAGCTTTGAATGCGAGGGTATCTTTGTTTTTCGAATTACCTCCTTCATTATAATCACACATCACATCATAACATCGCTTTCTATAAGCAAAAATACTGAAGAATACTGTTCGTTACTGATTGGTTCTTTCACTGGATTGAAAGCGTTCATTCGTACGTTCAGCTGAAACGTAATATAGCATGTATTTCCCACTTGACTCGATGCAATGTTAATTCAACGAGATCTTAAACCTTCATACAAACCATGAAATGAATGCATTGAACAAATACTGAGAATGTGCGTTAAATAATCCACCGACGATATATGAACAATAAATATACCAATACGAAGAGCACCTACCTTTTAATACCAGCAATAAATTTCGCACTCTAAATCCATTCTCATAATTCATTGAGACGAGCAAGTAAGTCATCGGTTCCGGCTGTTTTTCTCGCCGCAGTGTTCGGATTTGAATTCTCTGTAGACGCTGTTTGCGTTACTGGTGTTCCATCGGCCTGAAGCACTCAATAAAATGTAATCGTTCAATAAAAACACAAGTGCAAGCAAGCCTCACAAGCTCCTATATTCAAGCAAACACAAAGTTTATAATGACAGCAAAATTTTTGGCATGAAAATGTTTGCAATATGAAATCGCTTGAAAACGGATTTGAATTGCACTGGAACTTCATTCTCAGAATAGCGCTTAAAATGAGCAATCGAATAAATGAATATTACTCACATTCACTGTGATTGTAGGTTGACCTTTGCGTCGAATTTTGTACGGTCCTTTTATTGGTAATTCGACAGCCGTCGAAGGAGGTGGTGCAGGTGCCGAAGATGCGATCGTTTCACTTAACAATATGTCGGCACCACGCGAACGTTGTCGTTGAATGGCCGCTCGTCCTAAAGTTAAATACTTGTTCTCGTGTCGAGTGAATTTCAGAAAAAAAA